CCCCGCAATCCCCAGCCGTCCTCTCCTGCACTCACACTCTGGCCCTACGGGTTTGGAAACAGAGCGCTTAGCCCTCAGAGATGGCATAGTTAGTAACCGGAGCCTGGTTTCCGGGTGCGCACCCCAGCAAAGGCCGGACTCCGAGGCGGAGGGGCAGCCGCCTGTTGGCAGCCGTGCAGCAGCAGACGGGCGAGCACCGCTGGCTCGCCTCGTTCCTTTAATCGTTACTCATTTTTTACCTCAAAAGTATTTGGAATCAGTTTCTTTTAACAGGCTGTTGGCATGAATTCCCTGTCCAGTGGGGAGAAGCAGACTTTCCCTCCCTGGGGCCGGGCACAGAGCCCAACCCAGGACCTGCTGGGCCCAGAGCAGCAAGAGGCAGGGAGCGCCGGCCCGAGAGCCGAGCACCAGGGTGGGCCGGGCTGCCGTCCAGCCCCCCGCCCCCAGCCTGCACAATCGGACGGGGGTGGCAGGTGCTTGATTCCCATTGTTCAGAGAGAAAGACTGAGGCTCAGGAGGTAGTGACTTACCCAGGGTCAGCCCAGCCCAAACCTGCTGGCCTCAAAGCCTCGGCTCTGCACTTCGGCCACACGTTGGAGGGGTCGTGCATGTGCATGTGCGTGTGTGTGTGTGTGTGTGTGTCCCTCCTGCGATTCCCAGCATGTGGCCCCAGGTTCAGTCTGGCACAGCTCCCAAGCTCCCCAGGCAAAGCTCCCCAGGGTGGAGAACCACCGGGGAGAAGGCTCCCACGAGGGGGCCTCAGCACCCACACAGGCCACCGCCGCTCAGGGTGCCCGGCCCTCGGGCCCCGTGACTTCACGCTGGCTGCACGTACGCGGTCTCTGGCACTTCAGCCTGGGGGATCACAAACGGTTCCCATTTCTCAGATAAGGAGACTGAGGCCGCGGGAGCTGGCCTAGTGATCCCCCTCACTGCCTCCCTGGTGAGCCGGAGGGCTGGTGGGGCGCAGGAGACATCCCCTTCCCTCTGGGTCTTTCTGGGCTGGACAAATGAGTTAACACCACACAGTGTAGTTGGAGAAATAACGAAATCTGAATAACATGTGCATGGGGAATTTACAGGCTTGTAAATTCTAAAGAAAAAGCAGTGGACCGACGGGCCGTATTTAAGCTGCGTTTAGGGACCTGCCAATCAAGGAGCTGGAAGGGGGAACTTCCCGTGGCCGACCAGGAGGGGGCGCCCTCTCCTCAAGCAGAGCTGCTCGTGGGAGAAACCTGCACCTGGGTGAGACCTCGCCAGCCATATCCCCCTTGTGAAGGGGGTGCAAT